GACATTTTACATATTCACCTGTGCTGGTGCAGCTGAAATAGAGCGGCAAGTAAATAATGGAGGAAAGAAAGATGGAAGCAAAGCAAGCAAATCAGTAAATATTTAAAAAGCAATTTAAAAATTTCTTTCACATTAATCAATTGATGTGTGATGAGAAGGGGGTAAAAGATCACCTGATAGAACATCGAACAATTTCAATTTTATGGCCTTTACGGTGAAAGGATGAAACAAATATTTCATATCTTTAAATTTTCTAATCCTTTTGTTAACTTTGGGGGACCCATCATCTGCTCGATATTTCTATTTGTACTGACAATTAGGTTACTGCAGACTTTAGAAAAATCCATGATATTTTCAATATAACGGCAAGCACATTTATCAGCTGAAAAAGAGCACCAATGCATCATTAATGCATCCCTGTCAATCATCACCCCTTTACATAAGTGACTTCTGGCCTCAGTTGATCAAACAAAAAAAAGCCTCTACAGACATATATGAGTCTTAAGTAAAGAAAAGGAAATAGACCTTTAAGGAAAGTGGCTACTAGACTAGAACATACTAACATAATCACCACTGCTTTTACATTTAGCTGTAATGTACCTGCATCACATGATTTGTTCACTGGCCCTGCAGCATTAGGTGCCAAATTGGTTAGAAAACAGGAAATTTGGGGCAATAATATACAACTATTATAGTTTGAATTCACATAATACTGATGTTAAACTGGCATCTCCTCTCCCTGGCTGTTCACTTTGCAATGAGCAACCAGGTATCATTTAACAAAGAAGACGTTAAAGAATCAGGCCTAATCAGCAGGACAAGTGTTCTCTGACGCTCCGAGCACGCTTCATTAGGCCGCCCTGTTGACACAAACAGCGGTGAAAGCTGAGCCTCTCACTAATACCCCTAGTAACCCTAATACTCGCACGAGGAGGGCAAATTAGCTCTAATTACCAGAATGATTTGTAGGCGGGAAGCGGGCTCTCGAAAGTAAGAGGAAAATGGGGAAGAAAGGGGAGTGAGGTTGTGATTGCCGTGCGCCTCTTTAACTTGCCTTTGCAGTATTTTCTCCTCTAATTTGCCCTCCTTCTCCTCTCCGTCCCGATCTGTGTTTTCATATAGTTTTGTGTTCAGACAGCTGGTGTTGTGTTGCTGATTGTGAGACTAATCATCCGCTCAATTACTCTGGAATGCGTTGCTGCGCCGTGTTATGACTGATCAGCTTTCCCTCTCGCTCCCACTCTTTCTTTTCATCTTTTTGGGGGGGAAGCGGACTCTTTCCAATTTGGAACTCTCTCTCTCTCTCAGCATCAGTGTTTCTGTTTAAAGGTCTATCGCTGTTTCTTCAGCATTCAGTTCAATTCCATTTGGTTCCGTTCAATTTGATTCAGTTCATTTAAATCCATTTCAGTTCAGTGGCTGGCTTGTCACAAGTCCCACGGGACTTATCAAAGGGAATTTTGAATCAAATTTATGCAACATCAGCATCTGTCATTTCTAACTCACCCCATGTGAGAAAGCAAGATGATGTTGCTCTTTTTGTAGGTAAAATTAAGGCTCATTTAAAGTTATTTCTCGCTTTTCTTTTTGTTTCCCTCCTAATGTCTAGCAACTAAAAATAAACTTAGGTTAGGTTTTGTTCTAAGTAAGCACAGTTAGTTACATCACAACTAAATCAACAAACCTCAGATGTTTAACTTGGGTAAGAGAAGGCATGGGAACCCCCCCCCCCCTGCAGCTTTCCTCTAGCCTTCCTTTGCCTGAGGAAAAATGACACTGAACTATAAAACCACGCAGAGGGGTTTAGAGGATCATGAAAGGTTCAAACGGGGCCGGTCAGGTCAGAAGGAAATTTGAATTCCGAGTAAATAAAAGAGAAAATAAAACTCTCCTTACAATTCATGGAAGTAATGCCATTTCCTGTTACAGAGATGGAAACATATTGGTTACAAAAGAGCCAATCATGGCACTGAAGAGATGAGGACACTAAGTACCAGATTGGCCTGGGGCTCATCCTTTTTTCATTTGGTGTCTTTTGTGCATGGAAACATGGTTGTTTGTGTGTGTGTGTGTGTGTGTGTGTGTGTGTGTGTGTGTGTGTGTGTGTGTGTGTGTGTGTGTGTGTGTGTGTGTGTGTGTGGATCTGTTTATGACCATGTGTGTCTGGGCTTTTACGTGGCTTCTTCTGTCGTTTCGGATTGAAACAGATGAAATCTATTCATTTGGAAAGATGAACCAGACTGGTATAACATAACATAACCAACATAACAATACTTTGTTCAGTGCCTTATATTATCGATTACTAAGAATTGCTGAATACAAATCAAGGACACAATTATTGCTTTGAAGATCTTCAAATCAGCACAAAGCAACTGCTATTTAAAATGTAATTAAGAGCAAATGTTACATATGCAACATTTCCTAAATGTCTGACTTACCCTGTTTTTACATCATTGAAATATGAATTCCCTTTTTTCAAGTTTCCAGCTCCATACTCCGTATGTTCTTCCTGCAGTGGAAGTGCCTGTGGTGATTTTCCAGTGGGAGGCCTGTTAGTTAGCATATAAGAAACACTACATGCTGATGCAAAAGCTATATGCTAATGCTAATAAGGAGCTCTGGAGGACAGGAGAGCAGAGGAAAGGGAAAGGATATACTTAAACCTTCTAAAATCTCCTTTTTTCCTCTGGCCTGGTATTGTTTTTCCCTGTAGACTCTTTTTCTGAGCTCCAATGATCTCTGATGCCGGATGTTTTAAATACCCCAATGAGTGATTAACAGAATTTACAGTAAATTAATCATAATACACCATTTTCTAAATGAATGTGTGACAAGTCTACTGTTTTACTGCTGAAATGAACGCAGACAGGGCAAAAAGGGCAGTGTCTTCACACAAAAACTAGACACAGACATAACTGGAGGATTTTTAGGAAGAGGTGCAGGTATTTTGTACCATCATAGAAATCCTATATTATTTTAATGTCAAAATATACAGAAATAAATAATCCATTAATTGCCCAATGGGTGTTCTGTTCTCTACTATGGTCAGCTAATGCTTTCAATAAGAGTGCTGGCTATTGATCCATACAAATAATAAAGAAATAGCAAGCAACTTAAATATCTGAAAATACACATTAAGACCCCTAAATACATAATACTGTTCAACGTTGCATCAAATCGAGTCTTGAGTGTGAGCCTCCAACAATATCAAAATTCACAAAACTCTAGTGATCTAAGAATGAGCCAAACCTATAACTATATTAAATATATACTACTCTTGTATATCTGCTTATACCAGTTATAGTGCTATTTGTTGATGATAATCTGTATTATTAAGTGAAACCGTCTCCAGCTTGTCCTCGGGGATGGGGCGGCCCTTTATTGTTAGATGGCATTGAAATCTTCTAGTCGGCCCGACCCACTTTAAAACTCTCATAAATTCTGAGTGTTGGATTAGCCTTTTCCATTTAGGCTTTTCATATTGATGCACTGCCATTTGTTGATACTTTGAATGGAAATGCAGCTGCTGAGGTCCAGATTTGAAATCCTGCTGTTTGGCAGAGAATGGAAGACATGGAAGATCCACCTGGTCAGACTGCTCACCCCACACACACACACAAACACACACACACACACACACACACACACACACACGCAGACGCACGATGGCGCAGGCTCAACCAGCTGTGGATTATGTCCGAATGGTTACGAATGTTATTTGTCCTGGCTGTGGAGCGAGCCTGAAGTATGTTTTTTAAAAGAGCAGCAACAAGCTTGTACCAGTTAACAATGTCATCCCTTCTCAAATTCTCTAGAATGAAGACTCAAACACTGATCTCCTGTCTCACTGCATCATTTAAATATCCATGAGATCTTTTACAACACAATAAAATCCATCCAGCATTAACTGCTGTACCTTTTCGGATTGCGTGTTGTTTTGGGAGTCCTCCACTGTGACAAACTTCCTGTCCAGACAGGAAGTGCATTCCTTGATGTGTGTTTCTGAGTCTGGGAGCGTGTGTTTTTTTCACATGTGTGTTTGTGTGGAGACAGACAACAGACATGTCATGGTATCTTACAAAAACTGTCTGTGGAATGCAACCCATTTCCCTGCATTACAACTCCGCTCCCGGCTGGTTAGTTCTTACAATAAGAGACGGTAAAACCTTTTTGGAAAACATATTTTAAAGAATCAGAATGGTACTTTGGGCTGAGGTTACAATTTCCTTCTTTTTAGGTGAATGCCAAAATTGTGTCTGCCAAAATGCCATTTGTGTTGTTTGGTACCTTATTCATTTTGTTTCAGATTTTATGTCACGTAAAAGTTACGTGTGATGATTTACACAATGATGAATGAATGAATTGAACAAATGTTTGAGTGATGTGCTCAATACACTCAAGAAAATAGAAGATTCGCTTGGAAGTGAATGTTTTTCTTGGATTCTACATGTGATTTTTGAAAAAGAACCTTCAAATGCAAATACAGTTCAACAATTTATTACTTAAACATAGAGTAACAATATTTACACTACATAATCCTTTAAGGCAAAAAGGTAAAGAAGCATTTAGCCAAGAATTTTTCAAAAGTCATCCAGCAAAAAAACAACTAGCATTGCAAAACTGTACACACAAAAACGTTAAGAGTCATCAACAAACATTTACTGTACAAAACAACATGTGGATCAAAAGCGAGCTCTTGAAACAGAACCACTTGGTCTCACATTGCGTAAAAGAGAAATGGGGTTTTGTGCCATCACAGAAGAGGCTTCCATTCTTAAAGCTAGTAGTCCATTTTTTACCATTCTTTGCAACCCTTGACCTGCAGACAAAGCAGTCACTGAGTTCGTCACCATATTAAATTGTGTGCACAGTGCAATACTCATAGTCTAAGCTACATTAAGCCATCTCTCTACATTGTACATTACAGTGCTGGTTTTGCAGCCATACATTGATAGAGCCACATAGTAGGTCGTTTTTGGCGTGAATTGATTCTTTTTTTTCTCAACGTCAGTCAGAACCACATCGACGTCTTTGCTTTGGCCTGATCAAGAGCTGCAGGACAGAAAGAAACAAGGGGGGGGTTACCAAATGGAATGGGTGTCCCTTACTGGGCAACTAAGATGACGCGTGCATTGTTTTTTGTGTCTACCTGAGTCATACACCTCCAAGGATCCATGGTGGGCCGAGGGATTCCAGGTGACAGAGGTAGCCGTTGCACCGCCGCCGCTGCTGCCGGGGTCCATCTCCGTCTTCACCCCCTCGCTGAGTGGGGAGCTCCCCGCGCTGGCGGACGACTGGGTGTGGTTCCTGACCCCGGGTAGCAGCAGAGGATTGAACCTGTGATCCAACGCCGAGCCGTGGGTTGGGAATGAATGGAGCATAGGGTGGTGGTGCCGGGTGTGGATGTGGGGGTGGGGGTGAGCGTGGTAGACGTTGTGGACGTTGGGGAAGCCGCTTGAACTCGGCGGGTTCAGGCTGTAGGCCCAGCTGTCGTGGAGCGCAGCCGGAGGGGGGAGGCTGGCCCTGGGAGAGCATGTGGTCGGCCCACAGAGCTCCGTCGGGGTGGTTGAAGGAAACGGGGCTGGAAGTGAAGTCTGGGTGGACTGAGACAGAGACAGATGGAAGGCAAGGACTGGCCTGGGAGAGATAGGTGCTGTTCCACACTGAGCTGCTCTGACCCTCAGAGAGGGAGCCGTCTGAAACAATCACAGAACAAAGACTTCAGCACACTGCAAACTTATAACTCTAGTGTCATAATCTAACGGACTACAGAGTCTCCATCATCTGTGTATTTGGCTCTTAAAGAAGCGTTTCAATTCGCTGGCCCCCCCCTCACCTTTCCATAAGCCAGCAGTGGCTGAGGCAGCAGGCTGAGTCACTCTGATGGGCTTGGTCTCGCCGTTGAAGGTGCTGGACTGACTAAGAGCCCGGGAGAAATGCTCGTCGACCACGTCACCAATGTCGCCTTGGAAGTAGGTGAACAAAACACAGCGGGAGCTCAAGTACTCGGCCTCCGCTGGTTGAGCACCATCCTTCAGGTCGGAATCGGACGCGGATCCGCAGCCCGACTCGGATTCTGGTGCTGCAGGGGCCTGCCGAAGGACTTGATCCCTGGAAAGCGGCACTTTTCCCCCTCCCTGCTGCTGCTCCATACACTCCTGCATCTTACTGTAAACACTTAGTCTCCTCTGCAGGAAGAGACAGAGCAAGAGATTGATATGCAGCGATTAGGACAGAAAAATAACTTGATTTAAACAGAATCAGCAATCATTTGTACACTTTAGTAGAGCCCCAACGGTTTCAGAGCAAACGCTTTGTTTTTTTTAGATGGACAACAAGGAGTCAAATCTGATTATACTAAATAGTGATGCTGCCGTCTAGTTTTTTCTGCAGAAAAAAAACCCTCAAACTATTTCTAAATATCATAATCATGGGCTTGGGAGTTACTTTTCACCACATAATGCTTTCCAACTATTTGTAAAGCGCAGTGTGCCCCATCCACATTCCTGAGTCACTGACCGGCTGTCATTACATCACCAGTTGACCGCAGGATTAATAGTTCTGTGTCATTACGCCTGACCTGAGGTGAATACCAAACATCAGGCCAGAATGTATTCATTGAAAGTCAAGAGGGGTGTGTGAGAGGTGCAATGGAAGCTTTGAGGTGGTGTCCTAAGGACAAGTCAGGCAATAAAGTTAAACAATTCAAGTTTTTACCGTGTGAAAAGGTTAAAAAAACATTTCTTTAGGGGAGGACACATTATCTTAACTTCATGTCGGCCTAACTTAACTGAACTTGCGTCTTCAGCAGTCCATTATAATGGTCGCCCTTAGTGAGCTAATGAAAAATCCAGAGCTCAAAACGTAAAAAAAAATAAAAAAGTAGGCTTGTGTCAAAAGTTGCCTGAGGAACTTCTCACCTGTTGCTGCTGCTGCTGCTGGTTGTAGTACGTCGCCTTGTAAGCCGCTGCGGGGAGGTAGTGCGCTCCATAGCTTTGGTGGTACATCACATCCAGACAACTCATAGCGACGGACCCGAGCTGTTAGTGGGGAGAGAAACGCGCTGAGACGTCAGACGGGCTGTATCCCCCGAGCTATCGGTGCCTCCATATATGCCTGAACGCATACAATGGCCATGCCGTCCAGTTTGCGTACAGACAATGCGCGTCCCGCTGCGCGCTCCACCAGCACCACCCGGGGCCACAAATGGATCAAAACGTTATAAGACACACAGTGTAAAAAAGAAAAAAGAAACACTTATTAGGCAGCCTCTGATTGGGTGAGTTATTCCTTCCCTCCTGCTCCGCTCTTTCCCTTTTGGAGAGGAGTTATATTTAGAGAGGGCTGGGGCCATTTACTCACGCCCACCGAGGATGAGCGCGTGCATGGCGCAGTGGAGTTACGCAAGGCACTAATAAAGTCAAAAACAATACAAGTTCAAATCCGTCTGGTGGACGCTCATTCATAAAAGTTTCACACTGCTGTTTTTAAAGATTTTTAAAGCGTGTCGGACAGAACTTTGGAAATTATGAACTGCGCGTATTTTTCAACCTGGACTCTACTTTTTTCTGCTTTGTGTTTCTGGGTGACTGATGGGGACAACAATTAACATGGTGTAGTCTAACTACGCTAAATATAGTGAAATAATAGGGTGGTTTAATTCCCTTTCTGTCACATGGCCTGTGACGGAGTACAATGGAGGGCACGTCAGTGACAGAGTAAGTGAGAGGAGGTCCGCCGTACGTCAGCTTCTGTTGTTAGAGATGGTGTGTCGAAACCCGTATATCGGTTTATCTAAATATGTTCAGAATCAAGGCTGAACATATGATTTAGCTAAATATATAATAACAAACTGACCGGGGATCAAGAACAATGTGAAGAAACAGGTGTATTTCTCTGGAGTCGCCTATGGAATCGTCAGAGATCGAGGTGGAAAGAGATGAAATCCAACTTTTCATTGAACCACTCCTCCGACAGGACACCATGAGGACCAGTGCCACATATTGACCTTTCCTCAGTTCTCCCCTTTTGAATGAAGCTTCAAGACTAAATTGAGCTTTTTGCTGCCACCTGTTGGCGAGGCCGATGACACAACATGATTGTCAGTTTGACCCTTTATGAGCCTGAAGGCCCTAAAAAGAACACTCTGATGTCAACAAGAAAACACAAATTAATCTTTTGCAGAATATTACATCGAATGCACAGAATGAGAGAATCATGCACAGGCAAACTATTGTAATTGTTAGAAATCATTTAAAAATGCATCAATCCATCAAACCTTTTCTGCCCATGTTCACCTTTTTGTCTCTATTTCGTCTGTTGTTGAGATCCAAGAACAGTCAGGGTGACTCCAGCTAACCGCAATGGTGCAGGTACATCACATCTCAAAGAGGAGGTCATTAGTGTGGCTGACTTAAAGATATGCAAAATTTGGGCATGATTACAATTAAATATTAATCACAAGAGCCAATTTCCATTATTTTTTACATTTGAGGCAGCCGGTTTCTGCAGAGGCAGGCAGTGATACGACTACCGACACCCGGATACCAAGACCAAACATGATTAGTTTGTGGACTAACTTATGGCCCATCTGAGCTGCAATTGGTATTGTCTAACCACACACACACACACACACACACACACACACACACACACACACTCACATGGCTTTTCGGTCACTAAATGTTCCTGGTTTATTCGATTTTTCCCAACATGCAGATGTGTGGGGCTCCTTACATCTAAATGGACGAAATGCAGCCATTAAATAAATGTTTAGCCAAGAGATCCATCAACACAATAGTTCTTTTTGTGTTTGCATATGAAAGGCAAAACAGTAAAGAAAAAGAAAAAGTTTAATTATTCATGGCTGCTTAGTCTGAATCAGAGATACGTTTTCTCTCAATGAGCTGTTTGCTTTTTTCTTGTCATTCTTACCTTCATCCAAAGCGAATATTCCCCTCTGTGCCATCTGGTGATATTCAAATGTTTAACGAAAACAACAGAAACATTTATTATTTACTCACCGCACCAGCCCTGCATGCTGGTTTCCAGGTGTGGCGTCTGATGATGAGACCTGGGAGAGGTCTGTGCTCTGTCTCATCACTTTCACTCATGTTTTTTTCACCTTGATTTTACAAAGGGAGTGTGAATTATTCAGTCTCAGGCTGATGATCCCATCCGACATTAAAAAATAGGGACATTTTTGGAAAGAACAGCACTTTTGCAGTACTAACACAAGAGTGTTATTCTTTTTTTTTCAGAGGACCTCAGCCATGCCCATGATAATAAACTGCTATAATTAAAAAAAATTTATAGATCGTGCAATTTAAAGGAGGGAGGGAATTTTGTGGTTCCTTTTAAAATTTCTTTTAAAAAAAAAGCAAGTGCTAATTGTGTCCTCCTGGATTGAAATTATACTTAAAGAATATATAACTGCATGTCTTGACTGACAGATTGCTCATTGTGACAACACCAACAGACAAAGAGAAGTGATTCTAAATTTGTGCAGAGATGGCAGAGTTGGTCCACGTCTCCATCTAGTGTTTTCACAGAGGGAATCGTGTCCCCCGCTGCCTTTGCCTGCTGTGGAAGTGGGGCAGTAGAACACAAAGTGATGCCCGGAGACAGTGCAGGAAGTATCAGACACCCAGATTTACGGAGGTGTCACACACACACACACACGCACATCCGTAATCATGCACACTTAATGTGCGTATTACAACAGACAGATACACATGAGCTTTCTGACACAGACACCGGACCTCAGGGGCTTTCCACCAAACATCTGGAGCAGCCTGTGCCTCCACTCCTCTCCTTCCTAATGAGGCACAGAGATGATTATTAGTGGCTGTTTAAGAGGGGGAAACGGAGGGAGGAGACGGGAAGGGGCAGAAATGAAAGTGGAGTTGGAGAATTGTTTGCTTTTTCTGCTGGTTTAAACCCTTCAAAGAACGAAGGGCACCTCCAGTGTTTTAGATCTAAAGAATTTTCTCATAGAAGATAAACTTCCACTACTTTAGATCACAGGGACATTTCAGAGGAGCATTACTCTCTCTGGATGGAAGGATGTTTTGAGGATATATATACCAAAGAAAAAAAGCAGGTCACAAGCGTTGTGTCCCAGATCTGAGTCTCAGAGGGAAAGAAAAGTTTGGCCCTCCAGGTTTTTAGGCACAGATGATGACATTCAAAACATAAGTTACAGATTTTACTTTTAAAAAAGCAGCATTTCGCCATCATGTGAGGATCTACCTTTTTCAACCTTACCCTGCACTCCGGCTGGGGCAGGTGTGAGATTACGCTGAGTGCTGTTGATGATGATGCCTCACATTAAGCAGACTGCTGCATCATGAGTTTTGTGGTGCCGTTGTTATCGTTCTTCGGCCCCGGGGAGGGTCCACGGCAATGCACACCTGCCTGAGCGGACTGTCTGGGCGACCTGACGATGATGATGGTTGTAATGACGATGTTGATGATGTCTCGGGCTCGTAAATGAACATCACCCATGCAGGCTCTCTCTCTCATCTGGAAACTCTTTGGCTTCCACCATCGTGGAGGTCATTGACATGCAATATATTTTAGTCTTTAAAATCCTACAAAATAACATCACTATTTTTGGTGTAAAATTGTGAATCATATTTTTCAGATTCCAGCGCCATAAATCTAAATAAATTAGGAGAAACATAAAAAGGGTAATGACCGGTATAATTATCAGATGCTTCCATTTTTTCACTCATACAGACTTACTAAAGGATATTTGCGTACTTGTACGTTCCGTGGAAGATTTAATGTCCATTGCTACTTAAGTGTTGAGGGGTGGGGGAGGGGTGCAAACGATAGAGTCTAATTAAAGAACCATTAGTGAATTTTCAAGGGGTTGGAGTGATGCAATACCAGAGGATTTCAATCTTATTAAAAAACACTATTTTCCATCTATACAATAGGATTTTTGCCTCTAATTCAAAATTAGGACGTGTGCTGTAATACAGCTTAGATGAGACATAAAACAACATGTTGAGATCATTAGCAATGAACCAATGTGCTTTCTAATGAACAAAAGACATTTGTAAGTTAATGGAAATGGAATTTTGATGTTAAGACAAAGGGAGAAAAAAAAACAGTTTTTTTGTCAAACAAAAGCGCCACGGTTTGCCGTTTCATTATCTCAATGATCTCACATATTCAGTTTTAATTGCTCGAGCTATTATGGCTTTTCTTACAAATGGAGATGGGAGTTATAATTGCAAAGACTAGACAAATACTTGACAAAGAAAAGAACTTTACAGCGTGCAGGCCTGTGTCTGACAGCGTGTGCCCCGCCTGTCTGTCTGTTACCAAGTGACCGGAGGATATTAACTTACCTCAAGACACCACGCTGACCTTGCTTAAGAAGCAGATAATTACTTATACCCGGCCCTCCAGTTTGAAATCATATTCTGCTTGAATAAAGATAAATGAAACTGCACAGGCTGCCCAGCAGAAGTTAATGACATGGTGGAGACTCAAAGACAGGGTCGTGTTGATGGAGAGCAATCCACTTGACAGATGTGTGCACCCCTTTGGAGAGTGGAAATGGCTGGAATTTGACTTTTAAACAAAAGCTGCACATCTATTTAAATACTAAATCGGGAAAAAAACACAGTTAATTGGAAAAGAAAAACCTGACTGTTTTGGACTTTTGGCTTCATGCTGGAAATGTGTGAAATTAAGCACAGTTCACCAGTTCCTTTTCATATTAATTGTCTCTATTACTTTTTGGAGCTACATTTTGATGTCTGGTCTAAACACTGATATCGAGAAGAATGATTTTATTCATATTATCTGTGACAATAGTGTTATGCTCTCCAGTAGAGTAGAGACACGGCATGAATAAAACAACACAAAGGAATAACTGCAGACACAGGAAGCCTTTCTGCATACTGAGCAGAAATGTGGGACACAGCCAGTTTCAGGCTTTATTTTGCTCGTGGGGCCGCCCCTCCATATAACACTACCGATATCACAATGATTACTGCTTTAAAACACAATGAGATTTCTCTTTTTGTAAGAGAAGATTTGAGAACATTTCAGATTAAATCTTCCTCTGTTTTAATGAGCCATTTATTAACAGACAGAAATACAATCCAATGAACAAGTTTGCCTTCAATGTCAAAATCACCAAAGACTCATGACTTTATTTCAAGTTAAAAACATTCGAAGTAATACATGTTCTCTGGAGCATGTCCTGTGTATTTTTGAAAAGAAAAGCACTTTATTCTGGCGTTTGACATTCAGAATCAGAACGATCTATAGCGTCTTTGTGTGTTCTTATTTACACAAAACATTGATATATTACAAATCTGACTAAAAAAGCCTCTTACTTTTGTCTCTTTCCTCCCTCCCTCACACAACTCAACACAACCTCTTCACACTCGTCCTCCGTTGCCCTTCCAGTTGCAATAACCCTAATTCCCCCATGCTAATGGTGTGTCTGTCCCTCGACTCCTGCTGGGACCACCAGCCTGTACTTCTTGTGGTCGCAGCCTGGCCCCCGGGCAAGGAGGACCACGGACTGGAGAGACAGAGGAGGGAGAGGGTTCTGGTTTGATGCGCGTATATAGGATCTACCCACAGACAGATTGTCCTCCTCAGGCCACACGGACTTGTGGGTAAAAGAGGGTGTCATTGAACCGTGTGTGCGCCTCACTGAGTGTGACGTCCAAAATTGGTGCCAGCAGCAGATTTAAACAATAACACCTCGCTGTTTGACCTTACTCACAAAACCAGGAGCATGTTTAAGGTGTGTGTGTGTGTGTGTGTGTGTGTGTGTGTGCGTGTTTATGTGTCTGCACATGTTTGTATTTATACCCCACACCTGCATCCACATGCTGAATCTGCCCAGTGCTAAAGGTTTGTGTGTGTGCTTGTGTGTGTGTGTGTGTGTGTGCTCCGTTGGAGGCTGGGGAGGTGGTGAGGGGCAATGATGATGAGCAAACACTACAGGGGGGAATAATCCCTCATTACCCATAATTCCCCGATGCTGCACTGCGCCGGCGAGCGCGACTGCATTCGTCCCACGGGCAGAAACGGGTGGAGGCACTCACTCGATTTATTAGACCATCCCAAACTCCCCGCCCCCCTGCCTCCTCGCTGATTAACATCTCCTCGTCTCTTCCAGCTCTTCTAGCCACCTGCGTCTTCCATATGTCCTAAATAGTCCCCACTATCTATAACACTTTGTTTCTAAACCGATCAAAGATGTCATTTAGTAGAATGAATTCCTTGATAGTGTGGTTGGCATGAATATTATCGTCAAAGGAAAATGCAAACATTTTGGTGAGTAAAATGATTGGCTTTCCTGCAGTCAGGTGAGAATGTTGCTATAGCCAATAATTAATTCATTTATTCACACAAAAAAACATAGAATTAATATGGCAAGTTGCGCTGTGGCCACCAAGTGTCTTGTCATCCGGTTGCTAGGCGACCAGACATACCATTGTTCTGTAACTGTCTCCAGGAATTAGCACCAAACTCAATTAACTACAACGGTTTAAGCTAACAAACACTTATACTGAGTCAAGATAATGGACTCTTGACTGCGGCTTGATTGAAGAAAGTGAAAAAGGCAATTTCATGAAACGTCACGCTGTTTCTTCATAAAAGAGACAATGAACAGCATCTGGTATGGTTGCAGAGTCCACGGTGTTCGAACAAGTTGTCAAAGTGATTCCACACTTTCTGACCATTTTATAAACTATAACTCCTCTCCTTATCCCTTCTTTACTCTATCGTTGATTGTTTCATTGATCGTCCCTCTCTTCCACTTCCACTGAATTTGCCCTCCATTCTCCTCTTCCTTTAATCCCTCTGGTACTCTCCGTGTCCTTGTTGCATCCTTCTATCCATCGCTCTCCATCTGGTAGCGGGGAAGTATCCATCCATCACAGAGAAGAACTAGTGTTGAAATCCCGCGCCTCCCATCACAGCCTCACGTCACGTCTGTGTTTACATAAAAACATATTTCAGCCAGCTTGTCAGAGACACAAGGAACCATGCAGTATATTTTCTAGCCTATTATGATTTGTGTTTTACGCTGTATAGATAGAGGGAATAAAATATGCATCCTTAAGAGGCCCGAGGGAGCTTTGTTAGAATTCTATTTCAAATGATAAAAGAGCAAAAAAGTAATGCAATCTGTGGTTTGGACATATGTGGCATATAGTGGTTGTATATTACTTTAAAAATGTCACATTATTAAGTCAGTATTCTCTGTGTCTGGTGTCTCTGTGGTGGATATTACTATAAATTTTATTCCTGAGGAGACTTTTTGTTTTGTTTTGTATTCCTGGAAGCAGTGTACACTATATTAAATGCACTATAAGGTAACAGGAAAAAAATAACTCTTACAATGTATATATTTAATAACAATTGCCAAATTGTTATTAAGTGTGAAAAATCAGTCAGCTCTTTTCTATTTTATCCCCCCCCCCCCTCCCCACAAAGGACCCCTCGTCACCGGACCCACCACTTGGCTTCACCTTTGGATGTCCATGAATGGGTTTATCTGTGAAGAGGAGACAAACACATTTGTTGCAAGAAGAATTCCACAGTCATCAAGTGAAAGGATCTGTGAGATTTGTTCGATGATACCTTAAAGCTGGGGAGCTAGCTGCGCTTTATGGCTGCAACTCCCACTGATGGTGCAGAGATCTCATTTCACACATGAATGTCCCTCTCTGCTGTGTGTGTGTGTCCCTACACTCAGTAGTTAGTGCCTTAACATTACATGTATTCTTTCCCCAGGCTATGTTTCATAGAGAAGGAGGAGGAGGAGAATGGGAGAGAAAGGTAGTAGAGAAAAAAATGGGAGAATGTAACAGTGAAAGACAACGAAAATGAGAAGACTAACTTTTTCTTTGCATTGTCCATATTTAATGTTGTATGCCGAAATGCATCATGTGCTCCTACTACCAGAGACCAGCGACTGGCACAAGCTTTGTACCTGCAGGCCCTCTGGGTGCTTGGGGCTAGATTTATCACCACTGGGGCCCTCTGATGATGAGGCCGTTTAGTGGGGGGTCCCCGTAGTCCTCCACTGATTAGCGCCAAACACCTTCCCTAATAACCTTAACAAGAACAACGCCTCAGGACAACATGCTGATGCACACGGGCTAGTGCACACACACACACACACACACACACATACACACACACACACACGCACCTCTTTCGAGATATAGAAAAGAGCTAAAGGCCACCCATCCTCCCCTCCTTCTCCTCAAAGTCACCCCTCTCTCCTTTGCGCCACCAAAACTTGGCACCTCTTACTATTTCTGGGTTGAGACCCCCCCCGGTTTATATCTTCTGTGCTACCCCCAGCCACCACTTCCAATACAGACACACATGCATGTACCAAATTGGGTTGGTTATGGTTCAAGAGTCCCACCACAGCATATAAAGTTGCTCTCAGCATCAACATGAAATAAAACAATATGAATAAATGAATACATGCCAGAGTGCAAGAAAACCCTCGCCTCTGGTATAAAGAGATGAGGAAGGAAATTGAGAAGAACAGAATTTATGATGATGCAGTAGGAGTAGCTCTGGGGGCGGTTTATACACAGAAACTCCCTTCCGTGGATTTTTTCCTTACAACCCATTTCACGTGAGTGTGCCATGACCAGTGCATATAACAATGCCATGTCCACATGCATGGCCTGCTTACATTCAAATTCCCACTTCAAAAATAACACATCTGATCTGATTAACTATCCTCTAAGTGTAAAAACTAAAATCCATTCACACTAAATATGACTTTCTTACTAAGCAGTAGTATTAAACAGTATTAGCAAACGTCTTTGTTGCCAATAAACATTTTACTAGTTTGATTGTCTGCAATGATACCTTCATAGACTGCAAGAAATATTACAATTCTATTCTCAAAAAAATACAGTAAACTCTAGTATTGACTGCGTGCAATCATGCAACCTATCATTTGGATGAAATCCTTCAATAGGTCAGATATTTATATGGCTTAACTGTTCAACGAAACATTCAGGGTAAATGCGTTGACATTTTTCATTATTCGGCTTCGTGTTGACGTGTGAGACACACTATTCTAACTAGAGTGAGATATTTTACGAGGTACACGTGAAAGCAGCATGAGAGTCCCGCCGTGACGTCACGGGGAGCCGTTGAGTCAGTCAGCTGAGGGAGGAACTCCGGCAACAGAAAGTCAACCAGGAAACCGAAGCTACTAAACTGACACGCCGCCTCGGTTCGACGGCTTAACGGCGGTTAAGAATCACACCGTCTAACATTACAGTATTCGTTCTTTTTATATTTCAGTCGATACAAAGCAGCAAAAATGGCTTCCCTTTTCAAGAAGAAGACTGTCGATGGTAAGTTTGTTCTGTGTGAAAAGCTAGCTAACTTGTTTTTAGCCCGGGTGTTGATTCATCATTGAGTTAACTCGACGCGAGCTATTCCCTTTCAACGCAAACTTGTCCCACCTGTTCTGGCTCGGGCTGAGTCACCGGTCACACTGCGGGCTGAAGGCTAAAAACAGCGTCAAAGCGCCGCCGAACTTAACGTAGCTAATGGGGACATGCTAACGTTAAAACTTAACGTTAAATGGCTGTGTTACAATGTAACGTTAACCGTGAGGTCGACGTACAATATGTGGCAGTATTAAATGGTCCATCATGCTATTTGTTAGCCTCGAGTCTGTGAAGGAAGAAGGTGACTTCATGGCTCCACAATAGGTGAGGTTTAGGAAATGCCTGAACACACACCGGTTACATAAACCCCAATTTAAAAAAAAAGTGTGTTTAAACGTTTAATATGTAGTAAATGTTAAATAGGTGTTAGCATTTTTTTAAAGCAAATTTACCATTTCATCATTGGATTTTGGTTATTAAAATTATTCCAAATGTTACTCAACCCACACATTTCCTGTCTGCTGACAGTAATAAAGATAACTTTACTTTACACTTTACATGTCCATTTGTGTGACCCAATAAACATCTGCCAGTAAAAACAACCTTATAACCAGCTGTGTGATACAATTCTGTAAAATTGAAATATGAGATAATATCGTGATGTCTTTGCCATTGGACGTTGACGTTCTAATCTGTAATACAGTGATTTCCAAACGCCTTTTCCATTTAAATATTTCCTTATTTTTCTCCAGGCGAGCTAATCAGCCTCACAAGGTTAAAATGGAAAAACCGCCTCTCCTTAATCACATTTAATGAATCCATTATTCTATTTCAACCGGTGATTATATGGACTCAGGGCTGGAGTTCCAGAAGAAGGGGGGGCACATTAAAGTTACTCTCCTCAGGACCCCGCACCTACTTAGTGTGTGTGTGGAGAATTCCATAAATATGGTTTACTCTATACTGTTGTTTAAGGAAAACCCTTTTCACAGAACCACCTACCTGCTCCTCCCACCATTGTCATTCCAGTTTCCCCCACACCGATCATCTGCATACCGTACTCACTGTGCCGCGTTGCCTGCCCTCCGTTGTCGAGGCGTTGTCAGGTCTTCTCGTTGACGTTTCGTATTATTGAGTCCTCTCATCTCTCCCGCTCTGGACATATTTTTTTGTTGGGTCGTAGCCCCAAGTAGGGTCGGCTGAAGTGTTTTCTGGTTATTCGGCGAATGTATGGGTGGCGGGGGGGTTATAGCACAGTTATTTGTAGGACGATATCCCTCCCACTTTGAAACGTTGGCGCCACGTCACCTTGTACGTCTACACGCTTGGATCCCGCAAGTGGTCCAACGCGATGACGTGTTTTGACCAAGTTTATGCTGCCTGAACTTTTCAAACAGAAAAGACAATGGTTCTTATTATTATTATTATTTTCTTACCTATTCATTTGCAACTTGTGAATATTGAACCGTATCAGTTGTTTAGAATACTTTTTTTCGGTTTGTCCTTTTTAAATTTCATTTAATTTTTCAACTAATATACTATCTAAACACTTCTGTTTATTTACTATCTATTGACCTCTGTTTGTCCTGTAAGTGGGACTCCTCTTGTTTGGTATTTTAAGTGAAAGATTCTAGAAGCTTATTTGACCCGGTAAAAGATATTTTTCGGAGTTTTATTAATGCTGATTCTTAATTTAATGCAAGATCATTTGTTATGGATTAAACATTTTCCACTGAATCTTGTTTAGGGTATTTCCTGTCATTATTGATACATTTGAAAACTATTTTTACTGTCATTGACAAGGCTACAATAGAACATTTCCTGACATTGTCCCTCACTCTGACGTCGTGGATGAGTGTGTGAAGGTCATGCATTATCTCACATGATGCCACTCGCGGTTGGTTGGGAGCTGACTCAATATGTCAGCATGCATTCTCAACATGCCGCATCTTACTCCGGTGTCTCACGTGCATGTGGAAACTCAAAAATGCTCCACTGTATTGATGTTTAGGATTTCTTCCAAAGTCCTTCTGCTCACTCCCGTCTCTAAATTCACAGATTATCTTCAATCCATTCTTTACCCCTTCAGTTACCCTCTCTTGGCAATAATTATGACCCATAATCGATACAAGATTGTACTCTACATTCTTGTGCATCTTCTTCGGCTTTCAACCTCTGATTATTTTGTCTTGACCATAAATAGTGACACTGTACATGTACGCGTAATACGTAATCAATCAACTCCGAGCTGAATTTACATGTTGACATCTGAAAGGGGCACCTCTGTGTTCTAAATGTTTAGTTATTGTAGCTTTCGCAAAGAGTGACCTGTCTTCACTTCTGTCCTTCTCCTAAGACATAATCAAGGAACAGTCCAAGGAGCTGCGTGGCACTCAGAGACAGATCACCAGGGACCGAACAGCGCTGGAGAAACAAGAGAAACAAATGGTGAGAGCACACGTACACAGACAAAAGTCTGGGGAACAAAAGTATCATTTAATATAGATTTAATAAAGGAGAGGTCTTAATTTAAGACCTCCCCTTTCTATTCCTTTCCTTCCTATTCCTTGCTATTCCTAGACTCAAGATGCATATTACATCCCCGTTCATACAATCTGGGAATAAGCCGTAATAGGGAACGAGCCTAAATTAATAGCAGGAATGATCTGGTGTGGTGGGTTTGCGCTTCAGGCAAGTCAGGCTCCTCTCTCTCTCTCTCTCTCTCTCACACACACACACACACAGAATTACATTCTAGCGCTATATCTATGGACACACACATTTCCCCTTTCTTGTAGATGAAAGAATCTGTCTCTCCCCCTCTATTGTTTTAAGTAAATATCATACAGGACATAATTACCTCCCCGGGGAACCAGATGTTTTATTCCTCATTAATGCTTTCCACTAATTAGCAGTGTTTTTTTTTCCTTCTTTTTTAAGATGTGTTGCACGTTTTAAATTAAAGACTCTTACCCTAAGAAATGCAAATGACCTATATTAGCACTTTAGCACAATCGTCGGTTGTCCCCCACCATGTGCACTGCAATTGATACTGCATAATAGTGGCATAGGGCAGAAGTTTTCCCCCAAAATGACATTCCTCTTTGGTCAAATTTTCATCATTTCAAATATTCCTTTTGTACTTTTGTAAATGTTTTTAGGTTTATTTTAGACCAGGCAGAAAACATAGCGTTTGTGAAATGTAACTTCCTGTTGTTATAAAAAACATTCAAAATTTTATTAGAAGTTAATTAAAAAAACGTTTTCCTTCAGGTGTAAAACTCCCAGGGGAGTGTGATTAAAGCTGCTGATGCAATGCATTGTCCATCACAGCAGTAAGCTGCATTCCTTCATGTCTTTGAGAGCCCTCTTTATCCGTCACGTCCCTCCATCGCATCGCTCCTTTTCTGACAGGGCAGTAAATAAGACATTATACGGCTCACGTCAGTCCACGATTGATTGTTGTTTCCCGAAGATGCTTTTAGCTTAGACACGAGCCACAAGGAACCCGTGGTGCGGCTGTTGTTCGTACTGTAGCTGTGCTGAGAGGCCTGGCTGAGCCTGCTGGCTGAGCCACGTCTCCTGGGATGCTCTCACACACACACACACACACACACACACACACACACACACACACAAACACAGACTTGTGCCCACACACACACACACACACACACACACACAGGTTCCCCGTGGGCATGAGTGTGTTTTCTGATGTTTACCGAAGCTAAAGCCTGATCCAAATGACGTTATATAATACTTCTACATTTGCAAACACATTGGTCTCTCGGGAGCATCGTGGATATACTTCTGTTTGTTTATCAATGTTTGTGTGTGGTAATGTTGCTTTGGACATGGTTAAGCATGTTTTTTTTTGCTTCAACAGATGGAGAATCGGTGGCACTCCCTGACACTGTAAACATTACTTTGATGAGAAATGTATTTGCTGTTCTGCTAAACGGCAAATCTGCAACATGCACAGCCAGAAACAATCTATTTTTCCCACTGTATATGATTCCGTCAATAACTTCAGCAGTTTGTGTTCCAGATATCTGCAATATAGTATAATTACAATTTTGTGCTGTTAGTGGCTGCTCCATCTGCTTCTTTTCCTCCACGCCTTTGCACAAACTAAATTGGACTCGCTATTCCCCTGCAGGAGGCTGAAATCAAGAAAATGGCCAAAAGTGGTAACAGGGAGGCATGTAAGATTCTCGCCAAGCAGCTGGTCCAGCTGAGGAAGCAGAAGAACCGCACGTACGCCGTCAGCTCCAAGGTCACCTCCATGTCCACGCAGACGAAGGTCATGAACTCCCAAATGAAGATGGCCGGCGCCATGTCCACCTCAGCAAAGGTAAAATCCTTCTCCTCCAACGCACCTGGTCTGACATCCACTACGTTCGCCTCACTGTTGGCTGTGTCTATTTCGCACACAAACTGGTCTCAGTGTTTAGTCGTACCACGTCAGTGATGTGATTCAAGTTTTTTTTGTCTGGGATCTGTTCATGTCTAAAGCCAAGTCCGGTGGCGTAGTTGCTAATGAAGTGTGAAAAGTGGTAGATGGCCGTGAGCGACGTACTGTTCAGACTTCACAAACACACACGGGTCAGATATAATTAGGCTTTAGATTAATGGAGTGTTATGAGGTGTGTGTGAGGTTTTCATGGCACAAAAGAGAGAATGTGTTAATTGTTTGTATATGTGCACATTTTGCTAGAAAATCCAATAATGAAGTGAGTAGTTCAGCACTAGCCTCACCTAGCTGTGAGTTAGCATGCTTTCAGGCTGTGTGCCACCCAACGGTAAGTGAATACAGGGATTTAATGATGGGCTGTGTCACGCTAAGCTAAGGGAAATAACGGCATGTTTATGTTGAGCTCTCATAGGAAGGAAGGAGATGGATAATTTAGAGTCCTGAGTTTTTCTTTGTGCTTCTATTATCTTTCTTCTAAATCCTTAATTAATAAATCGTCTCGAGTTTACTCTTTGGAAACTGCCATGTCTGTAAAACGTGAACTGTGAACGTTAAGATTCGCGACATGACAAATATGCGCTTAAATTCCTTTTCAGCCTAATTAAATCTTTTTGCACATATTTTATAAACTGCTTATGCTGAAAGGAAAGGCAGTGTGAGTAAGTCCAGCATGGGATTCTTGATTATTGGCCGCATTTATTCCATCAACTGTCCTTCTGTTTGTCTGCTCGAGAGCAGATCTTCAGCGCGCTGCCTCCCTTCAGTCTCCACTTAACCTGTCTATCATGTACTCAGACAATGCAGGCCGTAAACAAGAAGATGGATCCACAGAAGACCTTGAAGACCATGCAGGACTTCCAGAAGGAGAACATGAAGATGGGCATGACCGAGGATATGAGTAAGGACTCTCAGTACACACCTGCGCATGCAAAGAACTGAAATGGAATGAATCCAGATGGATCAGTGTGAACGGTGTTAAAGGTTACGTGTGTGTGCCACTCTGTGTTCTGATGAGGGAAAGGTGAAAGTGTGATTGTGACAATGACACAGAGAGGCTCCACCATTTATGTTGTAGGGTTGCTAGCACGCAAGTATTCACACACTTTTACTAGTTTGGAGCACAGTTGTAAGCTTTCTCACTCTAAAGTTGAGACTCACTGAATAATGTGTTTGGTTTAATTTACCCTTCTTTTCTCACTGTCCAGTCAACGACACTTTAGATGAAATCTTTGATGCGTCTGGGGATGAAGAGGAATCTGAGGACATTGTGAACCAGGTTCTGGATGAGATCGGCATTGAGATCAGTGGAAAGGTAAGAAAGTCAAAGAGCGAGCGAGCGAGCGAGCGAGCCGTAACTTTATACTGTCTTCTGTTTGACAAACTTTGAGCCTGTGAGGCCTTTTTAATTTATTTATTTTTATCTGTTCTGCGTATAAAACCACATTTTACACACGTAAATGATCCCCCAGCAACATGAGCTCAGCCATAATTGTTTCACATGGCTTTTACTGGACTGTTAGATGCATTCCAGCTGCCACATGGTGGGGCTAGCCTTCAGCTCTTCTAGCTCTGAACTTCTTAAGTCTGTAGAGGCGCCAGGCTGCCCATCTGCTGTGTGTCTGGCTCCCCCTGGGGGGCTTCATGAGTTGTTACCGCTCATAGCCCACTACACAAATCCACAAATTGGCCTATAAACAAGCCCACAGCTGGAGAGAACAAACAGACAACAATCATAAACCCCCCGGGAAGGTTTTCTTTTATTTAGCGGGGTAGTTCTCTTACTTGCTTAATCAAAATAAAAGAATGAGCAGATGATTCTTATTTTGTGGATTTTCTGGAAAAAGCTAAAAAATAAAGCTTTCTCGATCAACTTGAAAGCTGAAAGAAGTTACAATAAACTCCTAAACTATGGATCCGGAGTAACGTATGTCAGTAAATAAGCAATCATATGTCTTATTGTTGTAATCAGGGGAATTTTGATGGCATGACAAACAACAGCTTTTTTTCCAGCAAATGCAATTTAGTATCTATCTAAATTATGATCCACTACATTTAACTATGCCTGTTAGGGTAGTGAGTGGCATGTTGTTGTTGTTTAAGTTAAGAAGATACTGCTACGTGGATGATAATCAACCATAAAGAAGATAAGTGATTTCTCCTTTCTGTTTTTCATGCAAGCAAAGTCTATGATTGATGCTACAAAAAACAATGCTTGCATAACTGACGCCCACTTGCATCAACGCTGTGGTGGGCACAAGTCATTTCATGGGACATCACAAGTATTCAATCTTTTTGTGGAGTTAATAGTTTTCCAATATGTAATTGTCAATAATTGCGATTTAAAAACAGCCTTTTACATTGGTCTTTTGGAGTGGTAGTCAGCAGCCAATCTTCCAGCATGTGCGTGTGTGTCTGTGTGTGTCAAGTTTGAGTTGAGTGTGCCTGCTAATGGGAGATTTTCTGTCCCTGTGTGTTTCCAGATGGTGAGAGCTCCAGCTGCAGGGAAGAGCCTCCCCAGTGCCGCCTCCTCCAAACAGGCCACCATCTCCGACGACGAGATAGAGAGACAGCTCCGAGCTCTGGGAGTGGACTAATTGTCCCCGCTGCATTAGTGCTCACATTATACACCTGTGACATTAATCCTTATCAATACAGACCTTTAGGCGCACGTTGAGACATTCTAAGACATGCAGGCAGACAAGTTTATTAACGCATAACCTTTCAGATCAATAGGGCAGAACACCTGATCTATTAATGCAGACATATATATATATATATATATATATATATATATATATATTAAACAAACTGGAGTGGCAACATCCTAAAGGTTGAGCAGAAATAGATGTTTGACTTAAAGTGTTCTGTTTACTGTAATACCCCTCTCCATCACTCCCAAGGGCTACAGCGTGGACAACACGCAACTGGCTTTTCCTTCCTTATCTGTGAGCCATATAATCTCCCAGTTTACACCTGGCTGAAGATGGATGGTCTTTCCCCAGCACGTTATAATAAGTAAAACAACACAATTAAAAAGAGCTTAGGTGTCGTCAGTAAGCAGATGGAACTTGTATTCGGCGACTCGCGTTATCCTCTTCTTAATGTGCACGTTGTTTGGGTAAAATGTGCCCGGCTTCAGTGGGACACAGTTGTTGTCCCACTGAAGTGAGAGGGATAAAAAGCCTCAAAAACTGTGCACGTCCTCTACAAATATGAAGCATCTGTTCTACTAGCTGATTATTGATCCATTTTTGTAAAACCCTCAGCTACCATAGTTACCAGAGATGACCTAACTGAGAAATATGCATGTAAAGTGTATGACTAGGGTAAAGTTTTTCACTTACATAATGGAACATTATTATCATAATGCATGGAAGGGTGAGATGGACTTATCTGAGAGCAAGCCTTTAATTTAATTTGCAAAGATGTGCTGCTGTACAGATAATGTGGGAAACCTTAATCAAACACAATTTAGGACTTATATAGGACTGGCAAATCAAAGAGATTCAAATCGGTGGTTTGATGCTACTTAGTGATCAAATTAGTAATTTTTGTTTTCGGTTATTATTTTTGGTGAGTGTTTCTTCTATTGGACATGGGGTTCACAGTGATTATGGGATAGTACTGATCCTGCGGTCCCTCCTCTCTTTCAGCTGCTGTGCAGTTACTGTCATATATTATTTAAGCTGCTTCTCATTCTTTCTCACACAGACACAAACACACTACCCTATACCATTAAAATGGCAGAAGAGTTTTCTACAATTACACTGTGATCCGAGAGACGTTTTCTCTCTGGCTCTCCTCTGCATTGATTTGTTGAGCGTCAAGAGAAAGAAACTCATGTGTGAAGTGACATCGACTCTATGTCTGTCTTTCTGGCCTATTTCTTACCACATTGACCTCCATTGCAAAAACAATTTGCATGCATCTGACGTGTGCAATACACAAATCATTCATTTTTCTTTTGTAAATCATTATTTCCCCTTTTTAACATCTTTTGTTTTTTGTGATTGTAAGCAGAAATAATGTTTTAACAGATTTAAACATTGTTTGAGTGCAGTTTAATGCTTAGGAAATTTCCACACTTTTTTAAAGGTGTATGTATAATCTATTTGTTTTGTTATTGTTAAGTGACTGTAAAAGGTTGATGGCTTTTATAAATGAATAAAGTTTCTTCAGGTACAGGTTGGTTAACCTTTATTGTGTTTTCCCTTGAAGCACTAACCATACATAAACAAGTGGTATGAAATTCATGCTATAGTCTTTGTAGGGGGCACGGTGGTGTAAAAACATTTTAATGAAATCACTGAATATTTTGTAAAATGAAGTCATAAAATTCATACTATTTGTTATCTCTGAAGACCATTTTATTTGTTTATTTGCTATACTAGCTTCTTCAAATGTTAAAGAAATGTTAGACGTTTCGATCTATTTTTACTACCATTACAGATACACATTGATTCCAATTAATTCATTTTTATGCTAGCTTGCATGTTTTAAATCAAAGTATCAATCTGCTATTAGAGAATTACAGAATTATCATGACGTCAAAAGGTGGCTCTAAATGTATATGAAGGCACGCAAAGGGACTTTGTTTGTATTTTATATAACACAAATTAATCTGCATTTATTGATGCAGATCTTTCCACTAGTAGTGCATCGGCTGTATCAATTTCAACATTTAAGGATTACACCAGCTCTATGGAACCAATGTTCTCTGATCACATAAAGACATAATTTAAGACTATATTGAATACAACCGGTGTACCTAAAAAAGTGCTGCCGTGTCAAAACATCCCGTCCCCTAGAACCTTGATAGCTTTATCTCATTCAGCGTATCATGCCTGGGACTTTTCGACGTGAGGCCTCAGAAATTCGCCGGCAGTTGACGACCCTGCTGCATATGTTTCCCCTGACGGCGCTCCGTGCGGACAGCTGCACATGACTCACAGCGGAAACTGCTGCTCGCAGAAAACGTCTTCATTAATGAACCACCGGTGGCACAACCATGAATTATTGCCGTTCTGTACACATAACTTGACTCTCTCTTCCAATGTAATGGCATTAGTAAAAGTGAGAAACGCAGCACGTAGCTCAGTTCTCCTTTATTATCAGAAATAAATTAAACTAAAACTACTTTTCAGTGCCTGCGAACGGAAAGACAATAGCTCAGCTCACGTATAATAAGCTATGTTTACTGGCTGTTATCAATCAAGTTGAACAAATGCATTTTCACATCCATCTGCCTGCAGTAAAAACCTACATGGCTGTTGCAGTCAGATTTCTGCAGGCACCAATGAATAGTACCTGATGTGAAGTGAACATTAAGGCTTGTGTTGGCTTGTCACTTTATTAAGGCGCTTCACACAAGCGGTCCTCCCAACCAGGTCAGAGCTTCTTTTTATGACACTTCGTCAAACAACAACAAAAGCGTAACGTCAGCAAACGTGAAAAATCATGTCAGCGTGACAACAGGCGAACGGCAGAGTCCAGATCCTCACTGACAAGAAAAAATGCTACAAAGTGTTTCCATTAATCCCAGAGGTCGTACTCAGAAAAGTAGTCCAACATTATGTATTAGGTGACAAATAAATAGGTTGTTGGTAAACTTTCAATATATTACTTTTTGACCGTGGCTATATTACTTTAAATAAAACCAACATGTTCCATATAAGACAGGTGATTAACGCATCAGATCACACAAATCACAAGTTCACAAACAAATACAACAACAACACGAGGGGTCCAGCTGTCAAACGTCGAGGGAAATGTTGAACGTGTCTTCAACAATAAAGCTTCTCCTCTTTCTCGACAATAAAAGGACGATCGAAGGCACAGGGCTGATCTCCATGAATGTTCATCTGCACTCGGCTGCTCATAGATTACGTTGTGTTGGGTTTTTGTACGTAACTTTTAGCTACGGCTCAGTACATTAAAACATCAGGTCACGGAAGCTATGAAACCGGCGGATGAGGAAAATGAAAAAGCTTTAATCCTCAATGTTTCAACTCACAGAATATTGGACCGACTCACCTAAATAAATTATTATCTGAATTGGTTTGGATTACTGTCAGACATTTGACTTCACAATAAAACTTTTTTTGAGCAAGAGGTGAACAAAAACCTGATGCTGAACCGTGCAACTATGTCATCGGTCTCTGAGCTTTGCTCATCTGTGCGATGCAGTGTGGGCTGAGTTTGTTCAAACAGGAGCTGAGGTTCAGACTGGTTTTGACCCGTTTCTCTCTTTGCCGTCTGTTGCAGAACCAGACTCTGACGACCTCCTTTTCCAGATGGAGGACTTTGGCTATCCGGGCTATTTCCTGCGACGATGGCTTGTTTTTTTCTACAAAGCTGTGCTCCAGAGCCTCCTTGGCGCCAAGGCTGCAGTGGGGAACAAGGGAGAGGGAGGCAAAAGGTGAACACTCAAAAAGTCCCCGTGTGGTACGCACTGTATCTTTGCCCTTTATAGTTTAGAGGTCCCACACATGTAGGTGACGAGGGACTTGTTAGAGGTTGAAAGATTATGTCCATATTCTCAAACTCACTTTGTAAGCCTGTTTTTTTTTCTTTTTTCTATCCAATCAAACTCACAGACGTCCCGCCCCCCGACAAGAACAAGCATCAGCAAAAAATCTAAAAAGGAAGGTGTCAAAGACCGCTGCTGTACTGCGTGATTGAATAAGTAGAATGCACATTTGGCAAACCTCCCTGTTTAGACACCATTTAAACTCACCAAGCAGTGTGGCTGCTTAGCAACGGCCGAGTGGTGGTGCTGAGAACAGAGGCTTTGTTCAGTGGCGCACGTCCAAACAGAACACAAAAAGACCCACACCTGTCCCCTTTGTGTCCCCTGTGTGTCCCCTGTGTGTCCCCTGTATGTCGGGATTGTAACGGGAGGCAATGACCGCAGCGGACCATGAAAGTAAGACAGCATGTGTGCGTTCGGCGATGTAAAACTCACTCACTAAATGAGCTGTAGGAGGAAAAAAAAGGTCAAAGACCCCTGTTGGGGCTGATACAGTACCTGATGGTTGTTCTCCTTTTCCTCTTGCGCTCATTCATTCCTATTTTATCGTTGTACAAGGCTGCAGGAAGAAGAAAAAAAGTGTTGTTAGTATCACTAAAGGGAAAAACCCCCACAATGCTCACGGCTCACTGCATGTATGTAAAGCCAAAAGGGGGTTAACTGTTGTCCCAGTGTTAGATGTGCACAATCATGCAAGAAAAGCGTGGTGATACAACAGTAATGTGTAGCTGACCGTTTACAATTGACTCAAATCTGGATTCATGCGGCGCGTGTGTGTGACTCACCACCGGCCAGCTCAGCTTCATCAAGCCACTTAGCCAGAATGGCCTTCAGTTTGCAGGCATTCTTAAAGCTCAGCTGCAAATTTTCAAAGCGGCATATGGTGGTCTGGCTGAACTCTGAGCCGTGCACGGCAGCAAGAGCCTCGCCTACATTGGTCTGTGTGTACCCTGCAGGTCAAAAACAAAAGGGAAACACTTGATTGAATAACCCGGAGCACAGAAGCAGCGAGGTCACCAACGGGTGCAGTTGGCTTGTGGGCTAAATCTCAGGTATGATCATCATCATCGCTCGATGATACTCACCCAGTTTGATCCTCCGTATTTTGAAGTCGTTGGCAAACATCTCCAGCTCTCGTATCTGCGGCGAGTCCATGGCAGGGGCGTCCTCCGGGTGCCGCATGGTCTTCCTTTGGCCGTCACTTTTCATCTCTCCAATGCTCTGGCCCCCGGGGGCCTCATCAGTGGAGAGCAGCGCCGGGGGCAGTGAGGAGAAACCGTGGCTTAACGCGCAGGAACCGCTACCCAGACCATGATCCGGAAACTTGTACAAGCAAGGAGTAAGAGACCCTAAGAGAGAGGGAGAAAGGGAGAGAACGTTTTTGAGAGGAATGTTTGTTGGAAAAGTGTCTCAGGGGAGACAGATTTAAGTCTGGCAGCAAGCAAATGTTGTCCGGTCCGACCGGCTTTCGATGGTATCAACATTGCTGGGACAGAATCTAAGGTGAGGTGTGCAACACTTCCCTCTTGTGTTTTGGGGATTGTAGTGCAGGGAAAAGTGTTGAGATTGACTGAAATTTCAATTACACACAACCGCATTTACAAATTGAATGATACGGGAGATAAGAGACAGACGTCTGCAATGTTTTGGCTCAAACTAAAAGTGTCTCCCGTGCGACGGAGCCTAGCCGAAGGTTGTAATGTTCCATTTTTAGCGGCTGTGTGAAAGCTCCCCACAAGCCTTTGGAGCAGCTACAATTTGCTGCAACATGTGCACCGCCCAAAGGGCGTAGCAGAATCAGCAGATTTACGCTCAGCAAAAATAGAATGTCGTATCCCTCTCTGAAGCTGCCCGACGTCTTAGCAATGACATGTGTTTCTACAGATCCAGCAGAAAGCGAGTGCCATGTGCAATCGTTAAGGAGTTGTGCCTCACGCCTCCTGATTAATGTATATCCTTTGTGCTCGGTCTGTCTGGGCTCCCACAAAGACTAGAAAGAACAGCATCCGGCTGTGGAAGTGAAACCAAATGCTGCCCTCGCCCACTAGGTATTTGTCACACAGAGTCTTGTTTAATGGTATTACCTGACATATGTGTTACTACTCTTTACTCTCAACGATCCCTCTGCTAAGAGCGGGTTTTCGACCACTTTTAGCAATTTTTATTTAAAATTGACCTCCTGACGGCAATCCTAAATCTGGCCCGCGTCCAATGTGGAAACAGCCGACCGGACGCTTTTATTACACCATATGGATTAATGGGTAGATGTCTCAGAGTCTACACTCAAGTGCTTCAAATCCTATCAAGCTTTCCGTTGAACGACGAGCAGCAACCGTATTTCCTCTGACAATGTTAATTGTTCTGTGCCAGCAGAGTTGCATTTAATGTGTCTTTAATGTGCATTTAATGTCTTTTGAAAGGAACAACCAAAACTTGGCATTCATTAAACTAACATCCTATTTTCTCGGTGAAAATAACACTGAGAAATAAGGATTTTAGTGCAAGTTGTGCAGGTCTGTTTTAAAATGTCCAAGTATTCGACAGCAGCATACATGGGTATCATCATCTTTTCATTTAAATGTTCTTATTTCCTGAATCGTGCTTAGAGGTATGTTACAATCCCGAAAAAAGAACATCGTCTCAAACGAAAGGTTGGACCCCATCGCTTATAGTAACACGTTGGGATTTTTTTTCCAGTGCCTTTAAAATCCATCACAACCTGGTTACGTTGGCGAGCTTTGCTTCTTTTCTCTGCTTCTCAGACGTGTGAGCTTTTGTATGTAATGCTGAAGCAATACAAAAAAAGGCATCGTCCGATTATTCTTTATGGACCTTCATGTTGACTGAAAAATATTTTCTGGCAGGAATAGAAAAAACCTATGTTTGACTTAAAATTGGCAAGAAATGTGGCATGAGACAAATAAAATAGTTTTCTTCTGAATTGACGTTTCTGCCTTTTCTGCAGCATTAGGAAGTCGTCTTTGAGGCCGTGTTGAACAAGTGCGCTAAAGGGCTCAGGCGTTAGGCGGAGTAATCAAGTCTGAAATTGATTTTAACGCGTGGCAAAAATTTCAATTCAATTGAAATAAACAAATTGCTCAATTTAATGGATTTAACTGCAAGTCTGGGACTGATTATGTTTGTGTAAGTGTGTGCGTTTGTGTATCTGATCGTTACCTTGCAATGGATTTCCACTGCCCACCATGTTGGGGTGCGGTACGCCACATGTCTGCAGGATGCGAGTCTGAGAGATGCTGGCAGAGAGCATCTCCTGAGCTACAGAGAGAGACAGAGAAAGATTATATTCCTTTATTATCGTCTGCACGATGATCATCCTTCTCATCCAAATCAGAACCAGAATAAATAGCGAATTAGTCAACAAATTCATTTTCTCTGCCATCATCACATCTATGTCACCTTCACCGTGAGGCCACCACTTCATTTCCAGCGCAGCGTCATTTGTTTAGTACATAATTAAAGGGCTCAACTGACCAAATTCAGATTCTTGGTGATTCATCGTTTGTTGACTGACTAATATCATAGTTACGATTAATATAATTGCGACACATGTTGTCACACGCACAATCACCACCACTCACCTGCCATCATGCCATAGGTGGCCTGCTGGTTGCTGTAGTGACAGGGGGCGACCGGGTAATGCAGGCCCGGGGGGGCATTGCCGAGCGCGTTGCCGAGGGTGGAGGTGGACAGGTGCATGTGGGAGCGCTTGGAAGGCTGACCCAGGGACAGCCCAGACGATACTGATGGAGAAACACACAACAGATGCACATGTATTCTTTAAACTGAGAGCGTTAACTACCATCAAGTTGAAAGTGCTCAATAAATACAACCAAACATGTGACATAGGTCTCGCCCACACAAAAAAGAGGGATTTGGAATGAACCTATGATGGGTAATGGGCAGCCAGAACATACGCTTCTAAAACAGCGAATGTGTCATCATTTATTTATTGCTATTTTATTGTCGGATAACTTTATTTTACTGTAGCTGAAAACTGGTCTGTTCGTGTGAAATTTGACTTATTCTACACATTGTACTTCTCTAGCAATTTACATCAGATGACACATTCAGCTCATGGACTGTAAAGACAAATGTGGGCCACTAAAATCGATTGGCAAGATATACTAGACTTAGTGCTACAGTAGATACATTAAGATGTTCCGCACGACCTAATCCAGTTTATTCAGAGCTTTGACAATCAGCAGGCACTAAAACCTGCAGGAAGTCTTATCCACGATGCTCCGCGGGAAGGAAAAAGACCTTGAGGAGTTTGCTGTACTGATAACAGAGCAATTATCCACTGAGGAGAGACAGCTGGGCCAAAGCAGATGATTAGATACATTTACATAATTTAGGTTGCCGTTGAATAAATCTATTTTTCAATCTAATTCATCTGCATTCATGCTCAGCTTGGGTAAAGTAAAAGGCCTATAGGAGCAACCTGTAGCCTGACATGAGACATCACTTCCCTGCAGCACCTGTGAGACTTAATAACTCAACAACAAGAACAACCAGAAACTCCACAGTGACAACATCCTTTTCTTCGTATAGCTACTAAAGTAGTACCAGGCTGCCCTGTCGCACCTGGGATTTTAATTAAAAAAAAACTCACTATGACCACAGAACACGACGGCATGAAAGGGAATATAATTAGCGTCCCGGCACACAGTTTTACCTGCAGAAACCATGCTGTGAGCATGAGAGCCGCTTGGCAGGCAGTCACCGGCTGAGGCGTGGTGCATGAGGATCGGCAAGGGGGAATCTCCTGCCAGTGGGTTGAAAGAGTCGGCGCTGAATACCTGGCATGCCATTCTTCTGTGGCCTCCTTCCAGGTGCTCGCTGAAGTTTGATCCTCGAAGTGGTCCCTCCTCGCTGTGCTTCGCCTTCACTTGTTTTCCACGTCCCGGGTCTTTTCTTGTCCTCTTGAAATCCCGTCCTTTCCTCCTCCTTCTTTGGGCCTTTTGTCCTCCTCTTGTCTTCTTCGGCCCTGTCTCTGTTTTCTCGCTGTCCTCCCTGATTCAGCCCAGCTCAGCTCTCAAAACTTGCGAGGGTTACCTTTTTTTATTTCTCTCTCTCAGAGGGGAAATGGGTGTGAGTCTGAACAGTTTGCGGGAACATCTGCAGCCTCAGCCGAGACTCTCGGCGAATTATTATGGATGAGCTGAACTTACCATCACAGAAATATCTGCTCAAAGGTGTCACTCAACCAGCGAGTCTCCTCTCAGTAAGGACTCTGCAGAACATGTCCCCCGTCCCCCTTGTCACAGATGCACCAGCGTCTCTCGTACCCTCAGCATTTCGCCGACCTTGTCTACTGCAGGTATTTATAAGTCAGCCACCTACTACTAACCACCCCTCTCCCTACTGTGGAGCGCCCTCTATTCTCTTAGGAGAGTGCCCCCCCCCCCCCACGAGCCGCCGGTCCCCCCCACCTCCCAATCCCCATGTCAGTGTTGTTATTACTTGTGTTTGTCCTAACCTCCATTCTGCTCATTTGGTTTCCAAATCCAGGATTAGAGTGCGGAGCGGTTGAGAAACCCGATCTTCTGCCCTCCTCTCCCCCCTTCTAACCATTTCCCCCCCCCCCCCCACTGCAGGGTTGTGTTATAGTTGCAGCCGGAAAAATAAAGCGAACACTTAAAGACAACAGAAAACAAAGGCTAGTTTAATGTGATGACACAGATGACGGCGTGGCCACCGATTGTCTCAAACCGATTGCAAAACTTGGGAAAAACACCCTTTTTTTTATCACAGACATTTAATTGCCTGGCAGGAACTCCTGAGGTGAGATCTTGGAGGCTTTTCTCCGTGTGAGCGGAAGAAATTGTGCTGAATGCAGAAGCGCTGGAGGTAAAAACAACAGGCCTCGTCTGAGAGGATAAAGGTTAATCTGAAGAGCGTGGCCACCGTGTGCACTCTGTTGTGTCTGTTTGCGTGTTTGTCCCGGAAACTCGGCTTCGCTATTGTTAATGTAGGTGGGCAGCAGGTGGAAAATAGCTTGTGGGTGGCGGGCGCGATTCAACTAGTTTAAGCATGCAGTGTAAATTCTGTCTGGATGCACTTAGTCCTTTGGACAATAACTCGCCTCAAAGCATCTTATTTTATTAGAACTTCTCCGGTTATTTGTGTTGAAAAGGTAAAGCAGTTTCTCACATTCCCTTTTTAATGTGTTTGATTAAACTAAAAGCAACAATAATGAGCGTTGCTATTTGAGAGCTTTGTGATGAATTGCAAATCGAACCAAAACAGACTTGAAAAAATTCTGTTTCCCCACACAAAGTTTGAAATAGATACACAGCGAGGCAACCAACAACAACAAACAACAATACTGAATGTAATGCTGTCTGACAATGTATAAAAAAAATCTCCAGCAGTGCTTTATCATCCTTAAAATACTTCTCTCTCTCTTTCATTCCAGCCAATGTCTCCCACTCAGGGTAAAGACCATCTTCCCAGCTGGTGAAAGCAGGTTTATTTTTGCACATAGAGACTCAACGCCTCTGTTTTATATCAATATGTGCGCTGTTATGTGAATCTCTCATAATGCACAGGTGGATAATTGTAACGATTCTTCACTTCAATGATCAATGATTAAAAAAAAAATCTAATTAATAATTCAAAACAATTACAGATTAGCTTTATATACAGTGCAAGCAGCTGGTGAAAAAGGCTGCTGAGATGAAACGAGGACGACACCAAAGTACGAGTCACACCTCATCAGGTCAGTGTCGTCTTCCCCTGATATGAAGTGTAGATACGTGTTATATTGTAAACGTCCAGCAATGGAAGCTTTATTAAAAAGCTGAGGAAGTGGAGAAGGCAAAGCTTTCCCATGGATAGATGAACACACGCACAGACCCACACACACACACACACACACACACACACACACACACACGGACACACACATGCATATGCACATAAAGAGCCTAAACTTAATTAGTGAAAAGACCATGAGTCAAAGGGTTTTCTTAAAGCACCTGTCCTAGATCCCCTTCCTCATCCTCCCTCCCCTCTCCTTCAGACACTCACACACACACACACACACACACACACACACACACACACACACACACACACACACACACACACACACACACAACCAAACACAAACATACAACACTAACACGGACGTAAATATAATGGAGACATTTTTGTAATTAGTAAAGACATATTCCCCCTCTCCACATATATATAACGCATATGTAAGAATAGGACGTGTGCGTATATACATGTACATTTATACACACACACACACACACACACACACACACACACACACACACACACACACACACACACACACACACACACACACACACATATACACACCTACAAACACACCCTCCAAAGACCACTGATCCATCCACTGGAGACAGTGGGAACACAGTGTGGTGACACATTCTCACAGGTATCACATCCGTCCTCGTTCTGTGTACCAGGTGTTTGTGTGTGTGAAAAAGGAGATGGTCCAAGAGGGGGTTCATTCTGTGTAGCAGTAGTAGTGCACCTAGTTAACCATGTTGAGCACGAGGAAATATTATTTTCACACACTATGTCACATTGTTAAACACATTATGAAAATACCCCCCCCCAACAAAAGTAATTTAAGTAAGTTTTTCCATCAACAGGCGTAAAGCAAATAAACTCGACTGCAGCCATGCAAAGTTGGCACATTCAGCGAGTGGCTGTAATCCGCCACAGCAGAGGAAGCACAGTGTGCACACCAGAAAAGAAAATTTTTCCAGGAATTACTTTCAATTACATTGTTACTAGTTCGTTTGTTATTGTTTCATGCTGCCTGGTGACGAAGATCCACATTCACATTTACGGTAATATCCATAAGGCCGCCGACAGCTGATCAGCTAATCAGCACTTTGCTGACTTTTTCTGAAAATATGGGTAAAACAAAATAAAAATGCCCATTCGAATATATGTCAGTGAACATTGTACATGCATGTAAAACTGAGACAAGGATCAAATGTTTATTCAATTTCTGTAAAAATGTACTGTGCATAAAGCTGATAAAATGATTAGTTGCATACGCTAATATGATTGATTTATACTAATTTATTCAGTTTATTATTGTGTACGCCAAATATTGGTTGGTTTAATGACATTATCCCCAAATTAACTTACAACATAACATTTCTATAAATCTCACAACTTTATAATGCTCATTAAGGATTATAAAAACAGCATTAAAAGGGCATTATTGAGTCGCACTATTCACAATCAGTGTTTAGGTTTTAATTAAATAATTCTGTGTGAAGCAGAATGCGTTTTGTCACATGTCAAAGATCTCTGTCAAACTTATGTTTTCTGAGATTGATACTTGGGAAATAATTTCACGGGATGAGTGTGGGCGGGTGCGTTGTCTTGATTAATACAGACTGGACTTTGTTGATTGACCGAGCAGCACCTCAGCAGATTCTTCATATGATCGTATACCTGAAGGACGAAATCAGCACCAGAGTTAGTTCTCCAATTCTAAACAAACATTGAGAGAACATTTGTACAAAATATCCTTGTTTTTAGCCAACCAGACGATCAGAAAGGGCAAGTGAGTGTGAAGCTAACCGCTGCAAATGGCTTTTGTCTTGTTTTTGAATGTCTGCACCCATTCATTATGCAGGGATGAACTCCGGGTGAGGTTTGTTGGATGCTTGAATGCATCATGGCAGAGGTCAGCGCTCCTAATGAATATCAAGCCTCGTGCACCACTCCAACCACCATCTGCCCGGTGCTGCGCCTGACTCACCGACCACGGCACAAACACCGCCCGGCCCGCCAGGCTAATTTCATCAACATATTCAACGCACCCCGTTGGATCAGTAAAGGTTAACCGTCCAGAGAAGGAAACAAGAAGGGCTCCTAAATCGGCTGTGCTCTTCTCTAGCAGATTACCATCTCTCTTCATTAAGTAAATGTAACGCCAAATATTGGTTGGTTTAATGACATTATCCCCAAATTAACTTAGAGCTCACAGTTTAGTATAAATGGACGACTTCACCTTGTTTGCGGTACTTTTCTGAAATGCTGTTTCGTAGGTAATGTGTTTTTTTGTTTAAGTTAGAGCAGATCCACTTATGCGAAGATCAAGGGACATTCGTCTTTCGTCTAGAACACTTAATTTTGCTTTGCTCTCTGTCGCTCTTTTAAACAGGTTGAATGACTAAAATGCCACGGGCTTTCACTCACACAAAGTCCTCAATAACTTACCCAACAGCCCCATTTAAACAAAGCGAACGTTTCAAAACAAGCAGCTAATCCTTTGACTGAAAAAGAAGTTTAAAAAATCGTAAACCTACTGTAAAATTCTCAATTTCCTCCATTTCTCCTCAATCCAGCAGCCGCATTTCCGCAACTGAGCATCTTGCCTTGAGCTCCCGCTCTCCCTTCCTTCCTTCCTCCTGAAAAACACACCAACATTATTGGACTTGCTTAATATGTTTATGGCACGGGACGCTGAATGTTTAAAGACGCTTTTATTTTACAATCCATATGCGAATGCGGCAGCAGACGGGTTGGGCCCTCGGTCTCCACAGAGTCCACAGTGCTGCCGGCTCACTGCTCTTTGTGACTCTTTCCTCGTCTCTTTGAACAAACGACACCGTGTTGCAGAAGGACAACTAAATCTAACAGATAGCCTTTGCTGAAAACCACTGACAGGACACATTTGACACAAAGATTCACAATGTACCAGATGATATGATAATAAATAAATAAGTGGTGCCTGTATGCAGGTAAGACTGCTCTACATTCAAGGCATATTTGAAAGCACGTGTTTGTGTCCTTGACTCTGAAGAGG